ACATAATTTGGGGCATGGGAAAAGCAGTGTATCACGCTAAGTCGGACAGGGTCGGCGTATAGATGGGAATTGGGCACCGGGGCTGGGTAATTCCCATTTTAAATGGGGTGCAGATGCAATTTACCGAAAGGATTAGGATTTTTGAAGCTGTAGCAGCAATTCAGCCTCTTACAGCAGCATGTAGACCTGAAGCTGATGGCGAAGGAAAATATTGCACACCCCAACCGTCAGCAGCCCTCGACTGGTCGGCTGCCGACCCGCCGACCGGTTGGCTGGTCAGCACCTACCGGTCGGAGGTCGTCGACACCTTGCAAAAAAAAAAAAAAAAAAAGGTTTTTTTTGGGGGCTCATAACCCCTAATAACACCACCAACACCTCCATATGGGCCCCCAATACCCCCATACATCCCCCCACCACCCCAAACACGGCCCCCAACACCCTCAGTACCCCACCCAATACCCTCTATACCACCCCTATACCCCCGTGTACCTCCCCTATACTCCCAACCCCAACCCCCCGATACCCCCCCCTCCCCCCATGCCCAAAAGTTTCTCTGCGGATTTGGGGTGTACTCTGCAAGCGCAGTACAGCCCCCAACTCAGATTTGAAAAAAAATCAGTGGATGGTTGTTTTCTGACTGGTCGGCAGACTGACGACCGGTTGGCCCTACTGGTCGGCTGCTATACAGTCGGCGGTCGGGGTTGGTGGTTGGCAGGCATGCAACCCTGCTTTGGACCAACAGTGCTAACCCTCGCCTTCTGAAACTGTGGCCTTGCAAATGATGCTGCAGTTTGGACCATTAGCAGTCTGTATGGACCCATAGCCATCTGGTGGCCTCCTCACAAAGATGACTATGGTGCAGACCACGGATCGTAGGATCCCAATGGCAATGGTCGAGTGTTGCACTACCGTCTCATTTAGGAGGCCTCCAGCTTGGGATCTCTGGGTTTGGTTAAAACTTTTAGTTCTACCAATGCTCAGGTTCGACCCACCATTGCATCCATAAGAAGCAGCAGCCAGGCCTTTTGTGGCCAGAAATTTATGGGGGTTAACCAGCCACCATGGAAGGCAGTGATTTTGTGGCCAGAAATTTATGGGGGTTAACCGCCCGCCATGGAAGGCAGTGGTAACTGCAGCCACTGTGTATACCGTCAGGTACTTAGGCGTGGTGGGTGGTTTAGACCGTCAGCATATCCAAGTCTCTTGGCCAAAACGGATGTGTAGCTAATTGTGGGATTCTGGGATTGTATGAAGCAGACATGGCACTTGGACAGATTTGGAAAGACACATGGGATGTGGGGTGATGAATCTGGCTATGATTGATAGAATCTAATTGTGATTCGCAGAGGTACATCTATGTGTGTGAGTTGAACTTTCATGACTGAATTTGGACCATGTGGCCATGCTTCTGGTCAGAAATATCCAGTGAATGTGTGAGTGCTGGGGGTCTCCCAAGCCTAATCTGAATGAAACACAAAAGAAGGGAAGGGATGTAGCGGAAATGGCCAGGTACACTTGAAGTTGTTGAAATGCAGACCTGAGTTCAAATCCAGATGGAACTAGATGAACGAAATTCCTGAATTGCCTAGGGCCAGTCAATTTCACGATGATATCTCAACACTGTCACCCTAAGTAATGAAGTAGCAGGTGGGCCCACATGTAGTGTTCCGCGGTGGAAATCTGTGGTGCGAGAGGAGATGGGAGGGCTGTTTGGATGGGGATGGACATGGTGGGAACTCCGGCCAGCCTTTTTCACTCATTCTGCACGTGCACTTCTTGTCTTCTTGTGGCTTGTCCATAATCACATGTTTGAGGATAACTGAGACAAAGACACACATTGAGAGAAATAGAACAATAAAATACTCCCACTAAGAAACAGGTGAAGTAATCTGGGCAGAGTTCATGCTATATATTTATTTTTGGTTTTACAGAGCGAGTATGCTCTTTTGGCTTCTGTTGATTGTTTCTCAATCTGTTCAGTGGCACTTGCCAGAGGGCCAGAGGTCCGCAACAAGTCACCCTCTTTCTCGCTCCCACCTCTTTCCTTCTGTTGATAACCCCTTGTCTTATTTCTGTCTTACACGTGCAGACCTAATTTTTGGGCTGAAGCAGTGTGGGTTCAAAAAAGACTCGACCATGTTGTATACTTTCTTCTGGCCCCTACCAATTCCTAGTATGCCTTGTGTATCAGTTATGATGAAATAATGTAGCAGTTAAATGATACACAGGTGTATCATCCCCCCTCTGGTGGGTGACAAGTTTGTCAATAAGAGAGGCTCTTGGTGGCTTGTCAAGGGCGACTTCTGCTTCCCCACCCCCTGGTGGGTGACAAGTTTGTCATTAAGAGAGGCTCTTGGTGGCTTGGCAAGGGCGACTTCTGCTTTCGGTTTACCGTCCCCTCCCTCCCTCCCCTCCACCGTCCCTGCCCCCCCCGCCCCCTCCGCCCCCTCCGCCCCACCCGCCCCCCTCTCCCCTCTCTCACTATGAGTTTGAGCCTCACTGTGCAATCAGACTCACTTTCTTTCCACTTCGCACACATGCAAACAGATGGAGACTCAAACTGGCGCAGGGAGCCCACTGAAAGCTTAGAGATATGGAAATCAAGAACACAGTTCAGATGCAAGTTCTCTTCAACAGGCTATGGCGCATCAGCACCTGAACATCCCAACCTTCGTCACTGTGTCCAACCCCACTGTTCACATGCGCTCACTCTGGATCACCCTGAATACCACCACACACATACACGATGTCTAACTTCCTCCTACAGCGGCTATGGCCGCACTACCACTACTGACTATGGCTACTATCTCCCTTCAGCCCACTTCGTCTTCGGGCAACCTGCAGACCACCCTCGCACAAGACGCTGTAGCAGCGCTTCCGCATGGCTTACGCAGCGAATGAATGAATGGCTGGGCACTGCCTCTTGATTTATACTTCTGTAACTCGTTGGTCTGCCCCTTTCCCAGTCCCTTGGTGCACACAGTCCCTCTTGGTACTTGCTGGACTGGACTGGGACGGACTGGGCCGGTACCGCTGACTGCATGGGTTTGCACTGCCAACTCGATGCATTCGCACTGCCGACGTAACGCAGTTGGGCTCACCACTTGCCCACTTGCCTCTGTCTAAACGTGAGACAAACTTCGAAAGGCTGCTTCCAGAACTTCCGGAAGTCTGTGGGCTTGGCCTTTTGGGTACTGTAGCAGCTACGACCTTGACCTTTCAGGACTGTAGCAGCTATGACCTTCACCTTTCAGAATGCCTATAGCTACGACCTCTACAAAGCTGTGACCCCTACTCGACAGACCTACAGATCGAATCCCTACATCTACACAGTCCTGCGACAGACAAACAACAGCTAATGAAACACAGGTTACGGGTTCAAACACTCGGGGCTCAACTCGATACTGTACATGGGTAAGGTAAGGTCTGGGGATCGAACCCTGGAATCTGCATCTGCCCCTGCAAGGGACTGCTTCACAACTGTTGGATACGTAAGTAAGACGAAATCAATCCTGAGCAGGATGTTAATCTAGCAAACCAATTAGAATTGCTGGTGAGGGTGTGTTAGCAGCTGACTTTTTGTTTCCCTGCCTCTCCTTCTTCCACCCTTCCTCTCTCTTCCTTTACATGTCTGCTTAGTTTTGAATACTGTCTTGGCGGCAGATCGGTTCCATGCCTGCAGTAGTGAGCCCTGAATTGGTGCTGCCACTTGCACATCGATTGCAGGGAAGTGTTGGGACTGTCCTTCAATGTCAAGTGAAACACTGTGGAGCGGGATAGTGGGAAGGTCTTTGGAAGGGAAAGGCACCAGAGAGAAATTCTGCTGGCAGAAAATTGTCTATCAAGGCGGTAGACTTTGCCGACAGCTTAGATTATGTCTTTTGTGTTTGTATTGGGGCTTAGTGCAGTGAAGGGTGGTGGAGTGGCTCACATGATTGGAAAGACAGGTCAAATAATTGATCTTTGCTGCCCCCTCCTCTTTTCTTCCCTTTTCATTCCTTCTTTTGCCCCTGGATGTCTGTGGCTGCAACCGTGACTGGAGACAGCTCTGCGACCCTCACACTGTCACACGACTCTTGACACGAAGTCAAAGAAAAGAAACGAAAAAGATGAAAACGAACAAATGAAGAAAAGATGAATGGGCTGTTTGCTATTGTTGCTTAAGCAGAAATCTCAGACTGATTCTATGTGTGTCACTGCAAATCAGTCTTTGATTTGATTTTGTGATTACATTCCCAACAGAAGCTAATGGACATGGCCAAGCGGCCTAGCTCAGTTGGTTGAGCATGTAAGTGATGTACAGGAGGTCGTGGGTTTGATTCCCCACAGCATCCATTCGATTCCCCACAACCTCCTGAATGGCTAACTTCGGGTTCACCGGCTGAGAAAGTAGGCTTGTCCCTCCTTGCTGGTTGTGGAAGTTGAGTCGTTCTTGCCAGCCCGTGCCATGCGTTAGGAGCTTGGGTGCTGCTCCCCGCACAGAGCAGAGCTAGGCAGTTGTAGACCCACAACCATAGGATAGCTTAGGCCTGGTTAGTAAATTTAAGGCTGGTCCTCTTTCGTAGCCTTAGACCCTAGCCTTAGACTCTAGTCTTAGACCCCAGATCTCCTGGGTGTGTGGATGGGCTCTTGTTTGTCCAGGGTAGGTAAGGCGAGGTAATAATATGGCCGGTCCCTTGCTTGTAGGTAGTGCGAGGCACAATACCGAGAGAAGGTGAGGGCATAGTAAAAAATGCAGCTGTCCCCCATATGAGGAGAAGACAAGCCTGCCAAAAAAAAAAAAAAAAAAAAAAAAGAACAAGAAGAAGCTACTGGACATATTTCTTTGCATTGTCCTTTTTGGAACTTGTGGCTTTTGTTTTGGGAATTGCTAGTGCTGTGCAATGCTGGTGCCGTGAGGGCTGTGAACACGAGTGCACTTTCTATATGGAGCCCTCTCTTGTCACGGAAAATGTGATTATGGCGGTTGCTGAAGTTCATGTTGTCTTTCCTTTTTACAGAAGCGTGATGAGGAAAACTTTGTTCAGATGTTGCACATGATCTCGGAGGTGCATGGACTTTTCTTTTCGTACTCAGCAGACATCACAATCAGGTTTGTATCAACTAGCCAATCAGGTGTTGTTGCACAGCAATACTCTTTTCCTATGTGCTTTTTCCTGTGGTATCCCCTAGTTGTTCACCACCTCTTCCTTTACTGTGTTACTGCCACAATCCTGTTGCGAGCTTCAATCTCCCCCTATGAAACGACTGATTTGGGTTTAGAAAGCTCTTATCCTGCAGAACTGGATGAGTTGTACAGTTTAACATCCCCCTCCCTCCTTTCTCCCCAATCCCCCCAGCACCTGTAATGGGCCTGGATGAAGGGTTGGGCACCAGTGATGGGGCACAATCGGCATCGAGGCTCAACGTAGTTTCACTCTCAGAAGCAGCATTTTTATTTTACTGTTTTCCAATCTATGGCTTGTGACTTCAAACCACCACTTTTGGGAACCTTAGTTGTGTTGTAAATCGGTGGTTCTGTGTGAAACAAAATCAGCACAATAAAAGTATGTAAGAAAAACCTGAGTGAGGACGCTGCCCGGCCGGTTGGGTCCGGGTAAACTGGGCGGGCTGAAAAACCGCCCATGTTACGGACTTCGCCAGGGCTCGATCCCTGATCTATCTTTTGCTGTTTCGGCTGCGTCCCGTTTTCGGCCTGGCACCCTTTTTCCAAACCCCTCCTTTGGTACCGTAGGATTTTGGACAACTGGCGCCATGCTGCAATTCGGGCGCCACTTTCAAATAC